TTCTAAGTACCCCAGGGCCCTCAGGGCTCCCACGGCGTGGAGCTGCAGTCCTGAAGGGGGCAGGCTGGGCAGTGCTGACTCCCTGAGCCTCGTGAACGTGGGAATGGCCGTAGCATCTATCTGCTATGGTTGTTGTGGAACCTAGTCTAAAGCCCCAGCTGGTACCACAGAACGGACAGCGAGGTGTTCAGGACATTTGCACTGAATGAAGACATGGCATTTCCATTCTCCAGAAACAAACCAGTGACATTTTAGGGTTAAAAACAAACACAAAAACGAACGCCCCCAGAACAAAGCTAATTTCTGCCTGGCATACAGCTCTTGAGCATCGCTCCCACTCCATGAACAAAAAGATGATTTCCAGTAAATATGTTGGCCACTCACCTTCCAAATCTGCTGTGGTGGCCATGAGCCTTTTCCAGCGGAGGCGCCACGTAAGTCTGTACATAACCTTTTTTTCGATTTTTTGAGGGAGATTTTCTTTTTCTTCTTAGTACTGTACTAAATGTCACTCATAAAAAGGTCATCAGCTGTGATATAAGGGTGCATGTGACGTCCCTTTAGCACCAGAGCTACCACTCAAATCCTCCCCTTCCCCTGGGTTTGGGGAAGAAGAGAGAGGTGGTCATCTATGCTCCGACTTGAATGGTGCTCAGAACCAAGGGTGCTCAGGCCTGGGGTGTCCTGAAGGGCACCAGATGGCTGCCCTTGGAGGGAGGCAGCTGAATATTGACCACGAGGGGTGGCGTTCGATATGGGGGCAGGGGGCAGTAAGCAAACCTTTCTGAAGGCTAACATGGACCAGGCCCTGTGCTGGGTTCCTTGTGTGGGCATCTCAGGGGTCCACACAGGAAATGAGGTGAGCAGTGTCACCGCTCATCACTGCAGAGGAGTCTGAGTCCAGGAGGTCACTAACTGGCCAAAGGTCCCATGGCGAACCCCCCCTTATCTGACTCTAGAATTTGGGCTCATTCTAGTCTTTACTGTTCCTATGGGCTGGATCAGAGAAGGTGGGGCTCAGCTGCCTGGACGGGGAGCAGGGAGCCAAGTGTCCCAATCACTCTGCACCAGGAACAAGGCTGCACCTCTGGCCTCTGGCACTTTAACTCATGTGCCTGAGTTTGCTCATCTGTCTGGTGAAGATATTAATTCTCTCCCATCACTGATGTGGTATATGGATAAAGGAAATAAGAAATGGTGGGATTTGTTGAGTAGGCACTCAACAGTTTATTTTTTTTTTACTTTAAAAAAATTTATTGGGATGATATTGGTTAATAAAATTATATAGGTTTCAGGTGTACAATTCTATGATACACCACCTGTATATTGTATTATGTGTTCACCACCCCAGATCAAGTCTCCTTTCATCACCATTTATCCCCCTTTCCCCCATCTCCTCTCCCCCAATAACTGTTAATACACTTCCTTCCCACCTTACTGAATATTGCTTGTTTCAGCCTCCTGGTTCCTTGGGTCTCACCTGGGGATGAAAGTGCCTAAGAAAGTGGATGGACACCTCATCTCCACCCCCACATATGTTAGAAGGATCAGAGAAAATTCAGGGGGCGAAGGATAAAGGACTATTCACTCTGAATTAGAACTATCAACATATACTATAATTTCATAAAACTGATGGATTGTTCTGAAGTCCCCAGGGTTCAGAGGCTGCTGATTAATTGAAAATTCGACTTACACAAACTTTAGAAGGAAACACTGCCTTGAAATCACATGACACCTTTCTACAAGGAGCTCAAGAATTTCAAAAGGTTTTACTTACATACATTCTTTTTACAGAACAGGAAGGGGTGCAAGGATACCAACCTCACTTTATATACACTAAGGAAAATGAACAAAGCTAATAAAACACCCAAAATAAAATCCAGGAGGAAACATGTCTTTTCCTTGCCAAAATCTAATGAGTTAGAACTGTAGCAAATCTACTGAAAAGTAAACACGGGACCAATTAGAATATGTAAGTTGGACGAGTCATATTAGAACTATTTGAATACATTTTGGTTCCCTTTTCTCTGAACATGTCGGAATTCCCGGCGAGGCAGAAGCTCCGGCCTGATAGAGCAGGCTGCCTCACAGCTCGGGGTGGCACTCGAGACCCAGCACATGGCTCGTGTGACATGGGCAATCCCTCCACCACGGCCCTCAGTGCGGTTCTAGCCCAATGCCACATCTTTTCTGACGTGCTTCACATCCTGGAGGATTCAACTAAAACACAAATCTTAAGAACCTTCTCTTTACCTCTCTGCTCCAAGAATACAAAGATGCTCCCTTCTCTATGATGCCATGACAACAAAAATGTATTGAACAAAGGGACAGAGTGACACCACGTGTGCACTGAGGCAGTGGGACCACCTGGGACTGTCCACAAAGGCCATCGCCCAGGCCTCACGTGATTAGCACTCTCTCTAGATGCGGAGCTTGTCTGTACTGTCGTGAACTGTTTATGAAAACAGCCACCCTAGTTCCCTCATCCTGTGTGAAAGCTCTTGGCAATGGGACTTCGTTGCTCCTGCCATCAGGGGTGGGGGTCTATTTTCCCACCCCTTGCATCCAGGTTTGGCCACATGACTAGCTTTGACCTGTGGGACATTAGCAAACATGAGGCAAACAGAGGCCTGAACAGTTTGCACTCCAGAGCTTGTCCCGTCTTGCCCCAGGAACTCTTCCATGTCACGCGAACAAGTCTGAGCTGGCCTCCCAGAGGGTGAGAACGTGCATAAGGGGGACGGTCCAGTCATCCCTGCCAGCCCAGGGGAGCCTGGACACGGGGGAGAGGACATCCCAGACCACCTCACCCCAACCGTGTCAGGCCAAGTCAGGACAACCACCAGCTGACCCACACAATTTTGAATAAAATGGTTGTGGTTTTATGCATTTTTTTTGAGGGGAGGGGAGGGGGGTTGTTACATAGCAAAAGTGTTCTACTTCTTGAACTCTGGCTTTACTCACGAACATGAAGGATTTTGTAGGCTTGATCATAAGCAGGTGACAAACAAGAATTTTTAGGAGTTCCTTTAGGAACATAACATAGTGCTTCTCGAACTTTTCAGCATTTTCAGAATAACCTCTAGGAATCCACCCATAGGGGCCCTTACAGAAGGGCACCAGGTTCATGTACATGGATGGGCGTGTGGCACTACTGTGACAGTATAAAGCGCAAGACACCTAGGGAAAAGGATAATAAGTTATGTCTTAAAGTAAAACATAAGAAAAAGCAAATGGAGAAATGTTTTTCAGCTATTCTACTAACCATCTTGCCACAAAAGGTATTCATCAATTCTTTGTAAAAAAACAAAACAAAACAGGTTCATATAGGTATAAAAAACACCAATTCTTTTTCTGGGCATTATAGATTATTTTAAATGTATTACTCGAGTATGACTCATGATAATCAAAAAGTGAAGCAACTCAAATGTCCATCAGCTGATGAATGGATAAACAAAATAAGGTATATTCACACAATGGAACAGTATTTGGCCATAAAAAGGAATGAAGTGCTGACACATGCTACAGCATGCATGAACCCTGAAAACATTTGCTAAGTAAAACAAACCAGACCTAAAAGACCACATATTCTATGATTCCAATTATAACACATTCAGAACAGGCAAATCCACAGACACACACAAGGTAGATTAACGATCGTTAGGTGCTAGAGGAGGGGAATGCAGAATGACTGCTGTGGGCACAGTATTTCTTTGTGGGGTGAGGCAAATGTTCTAAAATTTGTTGTGGTGGTGGTTGCACAACTCTGTGAACATACGAACAACCACTGAATTGTACAATTTAAATTGGTGAATTGTATAATATGTAAATTATATGTCAATAAAACTGTTTTGGGGGAAGGGCCTAAACAAATAGGTAGGTAGGTAGGTAGGTAGGTAGACAGATAAATGTATCATCGCTCAATGTTCCACGATGTGGAATACAGGTCAGGCCTCATTATAATGTAATGTACACATGCATATTTTAAGTCCTGCTGAAAATCTTAACCTCAACATTTTGCCATTCAAATAATAGCTTTTACTTACTGCAGACTCAGTCTCTAAAATCTATAAATGACTAATTTATTTGGATCTGCCCCAGCATTTAACAGAGGAGAATTAAAACAGACCAATAATAACCCAGAGAGTCCCTGAATGACACCCCATGGTGTTCTGGCTAATGATAATAAGTCTTGAAAATGGAGGCTCTTTTGGATAGACACGCAGAAATTGAAACAACTATCTGGAAGACCCAAAGATGGGGGTAAGGGCCTGGACTGGAGAGTTCAGGGAAATGTTGTAAGGTGTAAACTGCTGGTCCATGGAGACATCCCAGGCTGGATACCCCTCGTCTCCCAAAGCTGCCTCTCTCTCCTCAGTCTGCACTGTTTTGTGTACGTGTCTCATCTCCCATCTGGACTACAGGCTGCTAGAGGGGCCACAATGGCAGTTCCATTTTCTCTCTCAGAATTTAACAAAGTTCAATATAATCGGCAGGTGACGAAGAAATAAAGTAAATTCATAAAATAGATAACTTAGGAATAACAGATACAATACAGAAGAATCCTCCGCTTCACAAAAAAAGGTTCATGAAAAGTTTCTTTAGGCAACAAGCTCCCCAATAGACATAAAAGATGAATCTGATTTGGGAAAAGACCTGCTGGCCCGGGCTGGGAATCTGTGTTAAGAGTGTACTACGTGGAATGTAGGCTGCCGTCTGCAAGCTCTTACCTTCCCTTCTGTAGAGCAGGGCAAAACAAAGAACTCGGAAGCAGATGCCTGTGAAGACTTACCCACCCTGGCCCCCACTCCTGAACCCAGACACAGACGAGATTCCAGTTAAGGACACTTTCCGGACACTCAAGCCAGAGATGGGATAGCTGAAATGAGGGCCTTTTTCGGCCCAGGGGGTTAGGAGTTGCCCAGATCCTAGGAGTAGAGATTCAGCATCTCCTCAGAGGGTCAGAGCCCAAACAGTCATGGAAGGGGCTGGGCCCTCACCTCAGGAATCAGCCGCCGCCTCTTCACATTGGAGACGGCGTCTGGCTGGCCCTCGCTGCCCGGCTGCTTTCGCTTGCTGGCGTCCTGGAGGGTGGTGAAGACGCTGTCCAGAGGGTGCTTGTCCGAAGACCTGGAGTTCACTGAGCAGTCCAGAGCAGCATCCTCAGTTTCCGTCTCCACTTTCACAGTGTTATTTTTCAGAACTGTGGCAGAGAAGAGAGAGGGCTCAACAGGAGACCACTGGGCCGCTCCGAGGTCAGCAGGGGGCCGTGAGCGACAGGCTGTTTGTGGGCCGTCCTCTGACACTACCGCTCAGATGATAAAGTCTAGTCACAGTAAAACCGCACCTTCCAACCAAGCACTTTTCATCTTACCGCGCTACTGCTATATAATAAAACCATGTTCCAAGAACATTTTGTTCAAAACTGGTTTTAAAGTCTTTCTGGAGGGTGAGGGGGGAGAGAGGAGATGGAGGGCAACAAATACTATCTTTTAAGTGATGCTTTTAGAAAAAGTAAACTCTGAAAGGTGCATGGGTACCAGGAGAGGGAGACTTTTCAATGATTTTTCATTTTGTACCTTTTTATATTTTTGAACCATGTGAATGTATGACCCAATAAGAGTATTAAATTAAAAATAATTTTTAGTAAGTTTTTTGTTTACCTTCTTCTACATCTTCACTGAATTCAGTTGAGTTCATCTTCTATTCCACTACATAAAAAGACAAAGACAAAGTCTTGATTTATTGCTTGATTTGTTTCTTAATTTCCCCCACAATGAGAAATCCCCTTCCCCTCCCCACCCTGGCTCTGGGCAGTAGGAGGTTAACCGTATCCTCTTATTCTCGTCTGCAGTTGCTCCGAGCAGCCAGGCCCCTGTGCACCTGCTGGGGGCGCTTCTCCAGGGCTCTATGTGGGCCGAACGGGGCTCAGGGCTTTTGCTGAGAGCACTCAGGGAGCTGGGGGGACTTTACTGAAGAAAATCAAGTCTTTTTTTATAGACTCCAGCTTAAATGATCTGTTAGTCCCTGCTTTATAAATTTCAGCCACAAAAAATGAAAAGGCTGATCAAGGATGGAAGCTGTGAATCCCGTGGCCTGGGCTGAGGTGGCCCGAAGAGACCTGTGCTGCCCTTGAGTGTCCCCACAAAGCTCCGGAGGACTGGAAATGTGCCCGGTCCAAATGGAGATGTACACTCCAGCTTGCAAAGACTTAGCAGAGCTAAAAGAGTATAAAATATCTCATTATTAATTTTTATACTGATTACATGTTGAAATGATAATATTTTTGATTTATTAGGCTAAATAAAATACTTTATTAAAATTAATTTCACTTTTTTAAAATGTGGCTACAAGAAAGTTTAAAATTATATATGTGGCTTGCATTATGTTTTTATTGGATGGTGCTGGTTAGACTTTCCTTCAGAAACAACTTTCTCTTTCAGAGAAAGAGGCACTGTGGGTTTTCAAAGCTCTTGACCTCCACACAGTCTGGTCCAAACCCTTCTTTTTATTGACAAGAGAATGAGGCAGGTGAGGTGGAAGGTGCCCGACTCCCACGCCCCGGCTGGAATGCAATGGATACCATGACTAAAAGCACCATAAGTCTCTGCGATCCCTCAGATTACATAACAGCACGTCCATATAAACGATACGGTATAAACGAGGTAGTGCAAGAGGACACATGTGACCGCCTTTACTACTGACACTGAGTTGTGCTTCCCACAATTGATTGAGCGGACAAATACCAGTCTCATTTTGGTTAAGGATCAGAGGAGAGCAAGACTCAGGAGCACCTCTTAAGAAATTTCTATAAGGAAGAGGGATGCCATCTACAAAGTCCAGTAAAGCATCCGCTGAGTAGCTGTGGAATGGGGTGCGGTCCTGTTTTACACCACTGAGTGGAGGGCTGGGGGATGAGGCAAGACAGAGGAGCGTCCAGGTGATCTCGGCACAGATAATTTCCAAACCCACTCGCACAGCGCTTCTGACATGGCGCACCTTCTCAGTGTGTCACGTTATCTTTTGACAGGGACAATTCCTTTCATCCCTGCACTACTCATTTTCAGAGTGTGAATAAGAAAATTTAAGATTTGTCTGAAACTGAAATTAACACCACAAGTGACTTACCAGCCTATCTCCTATCTGGAAAACATAACACACAAGGTGATACTGTGGGGAAATAAATGATAAGTAAACTTCAAAAGTCCAAGAACAATTTTACCAGAGGTGAATTCTAGCAAATACGACTTGTATTCCAGGCAAACACCCCTCATCATGCTCGAGGACATCGTCTGACCTGGGTCTCTGGGAGAGGCATAGGCAGGTAGGTGGGAATTTCCCATTTGCAAGTCAAATAAATGCACAACTGCATTTCAGACAGGAGGGTGACCAACGTTAGGCAGAAATCAGGCCTCCTATGCCCAGCCTAGTCACAGGCCTCTCAAGAGGAAGACTTCAGGCTGCCCCCGAAGTGTGGCGACTGCCCTTGGATACCTGCCACAGGGTCAAACCACCGGTTCCCTCAAATCCAGGGCAGAGGCGAGCGCAGCGGGGAGAATGAGAGAACAAGGGGGCACACTGTACCCAAGGCCCATTCTGGAGAGAAAAGGCAGGAAAAGGAGTAGATGGAGGATGACTTATTGGGGGGGGAGGGCGGAGTGAGAGAGAACTACAAAGACTCTGGCTAAGTAGAAAGCATTAAAAGGTCGAGTCAATCCTAGAAGAAAAGAAAACAGGAGTGGATGAGAAAACACAGCAGACAGAACCACAGAGCTGAGCAGGATGGTATGGTCGGCTAATATTACATCCACCCACCCATAGTTCGCGCAGCGGGGGAGGGGGGCAGGAGGCTGACAGCTCCAGGCCTGGAGTCAGGGCTGGGTGTGGTCTCTGCTGGGCTGTGGCTCAGTGAAGCAGGAAGGGTATTTTCTGAACCACCATCACGTGACATGACAGCAGTCAACTTAGCACCTGAATTCTGAGCTCCTAGGACTGTCTTGTCAGAAAACCATGGCGGAGCACCCCCTGGAGCCACCTGTGGTGTGAGGAGAAGCAAGGGGGAGCTGGGAAGGCTCACAGGGGGGAGGTGGGGAGGACAGGGCGGCTGGCTTTCGTGGGCATTCAAGATGCCCAGCGTGCATCTGCTTTGGAAAACATGTCTGTGTTCATTTATAGACCAGTGACAGATGCTAGATCAGCACAGAAGTAACCCAGAACGCAGAATGGCGGCCCCTTCCCTCTGGGCCAGCAAAGAGGCCATGCTTTTTGGGAAGCTGGGGAATTTCCCATTCGCAAGGCCTGAAAAACCCACAACTACATGGTGCTCATGTGGTGGGGAGTGGGGTGAGGGTCCTCGGTAACACCTGCAGCCCACGGGCCGCATGCCGGGCACTGCTGAGCACTCTGGGTGCCTCCGTCTCACTCTGAGCCATTTTAATCCCGATTTCACCGATAAGGAAACCGAGGGCACATGCCCCAAATATACACAATTTTTATTTGTCATTGAAGCTAGAAAAATATTTTTATATTTTGACTAAGGAAATAAAATATTTGAATTCTGAACAAGGGAAAGGGGAACAAGGGAGGTAACTTGCCAGTGTCACACACACAGCTGTAAGTGGCGAACACAGTGCTGCAACGGAGTCTGTGTCTCTCCCGTCAGCCACCGGAGAGGAGATGATACTAAGCGAATGCTCATTCTTCTGCTGAGGTTCTGCTGAACACAGGGGCCAGTTTTCAGCCTTAGATTTCTCGGTCCAGCAGCAGCTGGAGCATCCACATCTTTCACCTCCAGGCAGCTACCTGGAAAACCAGTGTCCCTGTGCCTCTAAACGGACACCAGCCCGAGCTCAGACGTTTCTGCGAGGCGGGGGTATAGGTCACTTCCGGGCATCCTGAGCTGACGTGGCGACAGCACGCACCACATCAGGGTTGGGGGTGAGGGGACGGGCACGGTGTTTGCTACCTCCACTTCCTGGTCATCTGCAACATGAAGGTCACCGGGTTGCTCATCCTGGGTGGATACTGAATATCCGGATGCCAAGCATGCCACAGAAATTCCTTCCGTTACTTAACTATAGGTTATGGAGGAGCCACCAACTACCACAGCTCCCGCCCACCCAGGCTGCTAAGATTGCAATCTCCTCTGCCTGTGGACTCTGCAGAATTTTAACATGCGCTCCTTTTCAAAACCTCCTTCCTCTCACCATGAATCTCAAATTGTGAGATGGTCTACGCATCCACAGCTTTCTTCCCAAGGGCTGGCTGTTCCGTGTCCCTCAAAACCCCTGACCAAGCCCAAGGGAAGATGATTTCACTGCCTGAAGGGAATGTGTATCGAGACCTGTGTGGCTTGCTGCTGCCTCTAGTTAAACCAGCACAGGTTCTGAGACCCCAATGAGCTACCAAAGGGTAACTCTCCAGTGGCTAATCTAATAAGTGAAATGCTCTTTAAAAAAAAAAAAGCCCTAGCCCTGGCTGGTTTGGCTCAGCAGTTAGAGCGTCGGCCTGCGGTCCTGAGAGACCTGGGTTCGGTTCCCGCTAAGGGCACGTACCTCGGTTGCAGTTTGTCCCCGGCCCTGGTTGGTCGTGCGGGTGGCAGCCACTTGATGTGTCCCTTTCACATCAATGTTTCTCTCTCTCCCTCCCACTCTACCTGAACAAAAAATGGAAAAATGTCCTCGGGAGAGGATTAAAAAAAAAAAAGCCCTGGCTGATGTGCTCAGTGGCTACAGCATCAGCCTGCTCACTGAAGGGTCGCAGGTTCCATCCCTCGTCCCCATCCGGGTCTCTCTCACACAGATGTTTTTTCTCTTTCTCTCTCCCTTCTCCTTCCCTCCCTTCCACACTCTCTAAAAATCAATGGAAAAAATATCCTCAGTTGAGGATTAACAAAAAATCAAAAAAACAAAACACACACACACACACACACACACACAAAACAAAAAACAAAGAGGTTAGGAAGCCTGAGGCGAAGTGACTGTCATTGTTACCAAAAGGTTTTCAATGTTGCAGAGCATGTAGGAGTAGATATAATTTTATTAAAATGCCGCCTAGACTTTACCCTGTGCACAGAGTGAGATGGACAATATTCAATTTTCCACACACGGGTGTGATTCTGTTTGTGGCTGAGGGAAGATCAGAATGTCATCAGAAAAGCCTTCCGTTTACAAAAAGCATGAAGGAGAGGGTAAAAAGTAATCCCAAATGTTCACGAATAAGATGCTTTAGCCACTCAAATATCAAATTCCAAAGGATAAACTGGTTCAAGTGAAGGCATAAACGCAGTCTCGGGCAGAGCTGCCTCCGCGCCTCACGCCGGAATGAGGCTGAATCTGAACCCCGAGTAGCAGCATGCACCTGGCTTGGGCAGGAAGAGACTGAGGAGGGAAGGAAGTCTGTGAAGCCAGACAAGGAGGCAGAGCAGTGAGAACCGCTCACTGGTGCTTAGAAAGAACCAATTCTGCCCGGCCAGTGTGGCTCAGTGGACTGAGCGTCATCCCGTGGACTGAGGGGTCCCAGTTTGATTCCTGGTCAGGGCACATGCCCGGGGTTGCGGGCTCGATCCCCACTGGGGGGCATGCAGGAGGCGGCCAATCAGTGTTTCTACCACTCCCTTCTAAAAAAAAAAAAATCAATAAAACCATATTTAAAAGAAAAACAAAGAAAGAACCAATTCTAAGCGACGCCAAAAAGCAATGGAAAAGCTGGA